CCTGGGTTCAAGTGATTCTCCTGCCTCAACCTCCCGAGTATAGCTGGGACTACAGGTGCGCGACAGGGTTTTACCATGTTGACCAGGCTGGTTTCGAACTCCTGACCTCAATTAATTCGCCTGCCTTGGCCTCCCAAAGTGTTGGGATTATAGGCATGAGCCACTGCGCCTGGCCTAGATAAGAAATTTAAATCAAGAGTCCTAAATTGCTTTATGAGCTAAAGGAAACCAGGAGTGTGCTGTCTCACCAAATAGAGAACATCCGTAAAGAGATACCAAATTATAAAAAGGAACCAAACAAATTCTGGAATTGAAAAGTACAATAACCGAAATAAAAAATTCACTGTAGAGTTTCAGCAGATTTGAGCAGGCAGAAGAAGCCAAGACAAAGAAATAAAAAACACTGGTTAAAGTAACTCTAGGTACAATATAAAAGCCAGCATTATATTTGTGGTTTGTAACTCCTCTTTTTTTCCTATATGATTCAGATGACAAAGACATAAAATAATAATTATAAATGTTTAAAAAAATTTGACTTATTTTAGACTTGGAGTATATTTATTACCTAGGTATACAGTTATTGATCGACTTACGACCTATGCAACGTCTGACCATTCGACTTTACGACCATAATCGCTAGCCACGACAGCTCCACGTCTGGCAGCACAAACGTTGCCCAGGTGGGCGTACGACAGTGCGGACCAGCTTCCGGCAGCACCACCATCTCCACGTGCATATAGCCTACTCAACTTAACGACCAAATCGTGTTACGAACGGTCTGTTGGTCCCAATCATGGTCATAAGTCGAGCACTAGCTGTATTGTGTGATGCTGAAGTTTGGGGTACAATTCATCCCATCACTCAGGTTATAAATCTGACAAATGGCACACTATAAAAATGTAATTTGTTTCTGAAGCCTCTTCAAAAAAAAGAAAAAAAAAAGTAATTTGTAACTAACAATAGATGGGGCGGGTCAGAGATGTATAGGTGCAGAGGTTTTATACACTATCGAAGTGAAGTTGGCATTAATTCAAACTAGGTTGTTTTAAGTTTAAAATGTTAATTGTTATACCCAAAGGAACAACTAAGAAAATAATTAAAAACTAAACAGAAAAGAGAAGCAGGGAATCAAAATGGTACACACACACAAAATCAAACAAAAAAGGCAGTGATGGAGGAAATGAGGAACAAAAATATGACAAATAGAAAACAGCAAAATGATAAAAGTTCATACTTATTTGTAATTATTTTGAATGTAAATGGATAAAACTCACTAATTAAAAGGCAAGAGTTTGGCAGGATGTATAAAAAAATCATGATACATCTATGCACTGTGTGTAAGGAACTCACTTTAGATCTAGAGATACAAATAGTTTGAAATTGAAAGTATGGAAACATATTCTGTGCAAGCATTATGCTGAAGAACCCTAGTGTGGCTATACTAATATGAAAGTAGACTTTAAGACAAAAATTTTTCACAATGAAAGACATTATATAATGATAAAGTGGATAACCCATTGAGAAGAAATAACAGTTATAAACATACATGTACCAAACAACAGAGCCTCAGAGAATTTGAAGCAAACATTGACATAATCGAAGGAAACATAGTTCTGTAATTATTGGACATTTTCATACCCTACTTCCATTAATGGTTAGAATAACCATTACTTGACAAAAGATGAGTAAGAAAATAGAAGACTTGAACAAGGTTATAAACCAATTAGACCTAATATATAGAACATTACACCCAACAACAGCATCTACATTCTCAATGCACGTGGAACATTGTTTAGAATAGAACATATATTAGGCCACAAAACAAGTCTCAGTTGAAATCATACAAAATATCATCTCTGACCACAACCGAATGAAACTAGATTGCAACGGTAGTGGGAATAGTGAGTAATGTGAAATTCAAAACTGGGAGGATAGAGGGAGAATAGTCTGGAAGCAACAATAAAAAGCAAAAAGAAAACTGCCACATCACCTCCAAGCTCGGTGGTGTGAGGTGTCTGAGGAAAACAGCTACCATTTAACTGGGTTACAATGGCAGTGCTGTTCTCAGGGTGAACCAGGCTGTGTGAACACCACAGTGAAAAGAACCTTTAGATGAGGTTTGGATATAGATAATTTTGCTGAGAATGGATCATGAATTCCATAAGGTAGGATGGGACAGACAGGGATTATGCATAACAGTATGTGGATGAGAGTGTGGGTCATATTGTGGTGGTTTATTTAAATAAGGATGAAGGGAGTAATGAATGTGGCCCTGGTACATTCAAGTCAGGTAGTGGAGGAGAGGTTGTCAATAAGTTAAATAAGCTTTTGTGAGTTTGCTTTGAAACTCTGGCCACAGTTTGTTTATGTGGGAAAATGTTTTGATACTAAATAGCCCTTTATAAACATTGATTTTTACATGTTTTAAAAATTTTTTTCGCGATGGAGTCTCTCTTTGTCACCCAGGTTGGAGTGCAGTGGTGTGATCTGGGCTCACTGCAGCCTCTGCCTCCCGGGTTGAAGTGATTCTCCTGCCTCAGCTTCCCAAGTAGCTGGAATTACAGGTGCCCGCCACCATGCCCAGCTAATTTTTGTATTTTTAATAGAGACGGGGTTTCACCATGTTGGGCAGACTCGTCTTGAACTCCTGACCTCAGGTGATCTGCTCATCTTGGCCTTGCAAAGTGCCAGGATTACAGGTGTGAGCCACCGTGCCTGGCCTATAAACAAACATTTAGAATTAGGAAACTATTGTTACATTGAAGACATCTCATCTGTTTTATATATTTATTTTAATTAAAATTTTTTTTATTTTTGCATTCTTTTTATTTTAGCTACTGCAAATCATCATCTCATCTGTTTTTAAAAAATAGAGTGAAATAATGCCTTCTATAAATGATATACATTAGTTTGGTTGGCTTTGTATTTTATTTGTATAATATCATACTTGTGGGAGGAACCTTACATACAAAAGGCCTCATTTTCGGTATTGAGTATAAACAGAACATAGTGTATTGTCACTGTTTGCTTTTTATTTACATTTGGCCAGTTAGTTATTGCCAGTTATTCTCACTTCACTTTTCCATTCATCTGACCTTAGCAGTGTAAAAATTAGCTTCGAAAATTGATAGCATTCAAAGATTCTTATCTTTCTATGTAGGGTCCCCATGGCTGGCCTGAGATTGACTTTGCCATTCTGTATTTTAAGACATCGATTTATTCATAAAAAATAGCCATTTGTGGTGGCATGTACCTGTAGTTCCAGCTACGCAGGAGGCTGAGGTGGGAGGATCACTTGAGCCTGGGAGGTCAAGGCTGCAGTCAGCCATGATCATGCCATTGCACTCCAGCCTGGGTGACAGAGTAAGAAAGACCCTGTCTCAAAACAAAAAACAAGAAAACACACAAACCAGAAAAGAAAACACACATGTAAACAGAACTGCAGACTAAATCTTGTGCATTATGAAATCTCACTTATTCTGTTTAATTGTCAGATCTTATTTAAATGTTAACATGCACTGTAAATTGTGTTCATTTTTGAAATTGCTTTCCTTGCGTTCTTTAGAAGATGTTTCAATGTGAAAGGGGATGTTGGGATAATGTTGTCTTAAATTCAGATGTTTGGTAAGATAAGGAAGAGCAATGAAACATTTTCTTGGCCTAAAGTATTTGCTCTAATTGTTCTTAATTATTGGTAGGTGAAGGATATTGCTTTAATTATCCTTTTTGCACTAAGTGGAAACTTTTTTTTTTTAAATATTTCTAGGAACCAAATGGCGAGACACCATCATCTTTATACAGAGTTGCAGCTGTACTTCTACAATTTAATCTTATTGATTTAGATGATCTTTATGTACATGTAAGTCTAGTGGGCTGCTAAGAATATTTGGTTGTCTGTCCCAAGGGTGGGGAAGAGGAGTAAGTAGCCACATAGCACCCCCAGGGTTGGGGTGGTTCTAGGTTCTCAAGTTTTACTCTTTGAAGCCCCAATACATTGTTGCTTTGTGTTTACTCTATAAAGTGAATGAACTTAGTTCTTTTCTTCGGCAGTCTATGAAAATGAAATACCTTTTTGGTCACTTTTATGAAGTTGCAGTTTGGATATGAAGTTCAAGTTCTTAATTGTCATCAAGGCATATCTCGTGGGGAGAGGCCAAGTTCTAACCAATTTGGTTTTAAGCCTCTTTATTATCTACAAATGATGGGAAATATAGGGTTACCTATATACTGTTTCTTTCTCTAAAATATCAATTTTAGGCATTCAGGATGAATGGGGAACTTTGTTAGTGTATTTTTATTTTTAGTATATTTAAAAAATATTTTTCTTGTGTTACTCCTGTGTACTAAATGACTTATGCTTTTACTGCTGTGACAGATGACCTCTAGTTTAATAGCAATTTAGCCATCATCTTGAAAATCTAGGCTAATAGTATATAAATTCCTCTTCTATTAGGTTTTGCATTAGGACATCAATTAATTATTTTTTTGAGATGGAGTTTCGCTCATGTTGCCCAGGCTGGAGTATAATGGAGTGTTCTCTGCTCACTGCAACTTCTGCCTCCCGGATTCAAGTGATTCTCCTGCCTTAGCCTCCTGAGTAGCTGGGATTATAGGCGCCTGCCACCATGCCTGGCTATTTCCTTTTTTTGTATTTTTAGTAGAGATGGGGTTTTGCCACGTTGGTCAGGCTGGTCTTGAATTCCTGACTTCAGGTGATCTGCCTGCCTTGGCCTCCCAAAGTGCTAGGATTACAGGCATGAACCACCCCACCCGGCTGATATCTGTTAATTTAAAACAAATATGTCCAAAGGTGATATCATCTTCAATGCCTTTGAAATCACTTTATTAACATCATTGCCTATTTTTGTATACTGTGGCTACAGAGTTGAATAAAACTTGGTCTCTGCCTTGGAAACAGTCATAGTCTAGCAAAGGACAAAAACATTTTGCATTATTTAATAGGTACTCTATTGGAGATATTCACAAAGCTCAGAATAGATAGTGACCATATCTGTGGGGGCAGGGCTTTGGAAGACTTTCCCAGACTAGTGATGTTGAACTGGGATCTTGATAGACAAGTAGGGTCATCTAGGATGAAAGGGTAGAAAACTTTGTAGGTAGAATGAACTGAGAAAAGGTAGGAGATTTTTTAAAATTTTGATTTATTTATTTATTTATGTGTGTGTGTGTGTGTGTGGGGGGGGGGAGAGATGGAGTCTCATTGTCACCCAGGCTGGAGTGCAGTGGCACAGTCTTGGCTCACTGCAACCTCCCCCTCCTGCGTTCAACCTATTATTTTGCCTCAGTTTCCCGAGTAGCTGGGAGGCGCATGCCACCATGCCTGACTAATTTTTGTATTTTTAGTAGAGGTGGGGCTTCACTGTATTTTTAGTAGACACTGAGTTTCACCATGTTGGCCAGACTGGTCTTGAACTCCTGACCTCAGGTGATCCGCCTGTGTGGCCTCCCAAAGTGCTGGGATTACAGGTGTGAGCCGCTGTGCCTGGTCAAGGTGGGAGATTTGAAAAGGCTTTTTTATCCCTTTATGGGACTGTCAGGAAGCTCAGAGTGGTTGGAGCCTAGGGTGATATATAGGGGGAATGAGGATGGAATAGGTAAGAGCTAAACTGTTAAGGGCTTAAGTGACATAGGAAGGAGTCTGGATTTTTCTCTTGGGAGTGGAGAACCATTTAGTATTTAAAGGAGAGATGTGATATACAAACGGAATATGGAAAATTGGTCAGAAAAGGGAGAATTTGAAAACAGAGGTATGACTTTAGAGGGAAGTATAGACTGGCATATGTGCAAAGTACAAAATTGATGATAGATTTATTGCTGATATGATTGCATTTAACAGTAAATGTAAGCAGACCAAGTGTTCCTGTTAATATGACAAGGATTGTCAAATGGGATTAAAAATTAGTTTATTATTTGATAAACAGCTGAAACCTAAGGATAATGAAATGTTGATAGTAAAAGGATGAGAAAATATATCGGCAAACTTACTATTGTTGGACAAAATAGACTTTTTGGCAAAAGAAGATAAAGAGGGCCACTTCATAATAATGAAGTTGTGTTCACTAGGAAGATAAAACAGTTCTAACTTCACATGTACCTAATGACATGTTCTCAAAATACACAGAAATACAAGTTGAGAGAACTGTAAGAAGAAACGGTTTGCCCATTGGAGTTGTAATCGTCTGGCTAAAAGATAAGGACCTATGGCTGGGTGCGGTGGCTCACACCTGTAATCCTAGCACTTTGGGAGGCTGAGGCAGGCAGATACCTGAGGTCAGGAGTTCAAGAGCAGCCTGACCAAAACGGTGAAACCGTGTCTCTACTAAAAGTACAAAATTAGCTGGGCGCGGGTGGCACATGCCTGCAATCCCAGCTACTTGGGAGGCTGAGGCGGGAGAATCGCTTGAACCCAGGAGGCAGAGGTTGCAGTGAGCCGAGATCACACCATTGCACTCCAGCCTAGGCAACAAGAGTGCGGGGTAAAAAAAAAAAAAGGACCTGTGTCAGGTGTATAAGTACAGCAATAAAAATGTGTTTGATTGCCAGGGGAGAACATACAGAATGAGAAAAAGTCTTTCTTACTTCCTTGGCACCAGTCCATAGCAACTTTCCTCTCTCCGTCTTTTTTTTTTTTTTTTTTTTTTTTGGTTAATGGAATGAAATCTATAATGTTTACTATTTCATTATTTTCATTTACTGTTCACTTTAAACCTAGTTAATGAAATAGATTATGCATTTGTAGGGGGTAGGAACACTTACAGCTTATAGTGACTAGCAGAAACTACTAAGTAATGGTTTGTTGGCTGAAGTTTTCTTTGTGTCAGGGTTATTTTATATATGTCTGCATTAATTATCTTCCACTCAAACACGATGACTGTACATGAGATACTTGAGCCTTTTTCATAATGGAGGGTTGATTATGCACATAGTTCTTTTTCTTTTGCAGTAAACTAGTAACTAGCTTGTGACTTGAGTTAAATAAGCTCCCAGAAAAAAGTGAGATGTCCAGTTACTAATCATTTTTCTACTTGAAAATTTTCATTTAGAGGATTTAAATTAATCCATTTGTGTTATTCAGCAGCTCACTTCTCCAAAATTGGATCTATATTGCAGTGCTTTATTTGATTTGGAGTTTAGCCTTTAATGGGGAAATTTGTAATGTTTTTAATGGAACTTCTATATATTTTCTTGGGTAAACTAATGCACTTAATGATAAACATCACTGTTGTGGTATTATATTACTTTAGGGACTATCAGAAGATGTGAAACTCTGAGCTGCCACTTGATTTTAAAAGGGGTTTAGAATTCAGGTACTCAATTCTGTCAAATTACAAGAAAATAACTGAAATTTACTTAGAAGGCAAATAGTCATGAATAAGTTAGACTTCTTATTTATAGTTTTATCAGTTGAAAATACTTTGCTTTTTATATGAGCAAGTAGTAGGTATTAGCTGTTTTATGAAATTTTAATGAACCATTTTTAGCTTCTTCCAGCCGATAATTGCATTATGGATGAACACAAACGAGAAATTGCGGAAGCTAAGCAAATTGTTAGAAAACTTACGATGGTTGTGTTGTCTTCTGAAAAAATGGATGATCGAGAGAAAGAAAAGGAGAAAGAAGAGGAGAAAGTAGAGAAGGTATGTAATTCATTCTAGTAAAATTAACACTGTCTTGGATTTTGAATTATGAAATTTAACTTCTAAATAGTCAATTATGGAATAATTTCTTAGTTTTCATTTTGCTGAAACCTCATTTCTGAATCATTTGCTACAGTGATTTTATTTTTAATCTGAATGGCACCTTTTTAAGAGAAGCTGTCATATTTTTTTCTTGTATAAATTTCAAAATGTTTTCTAAGTAAAATCACAAGATGTATTGACTTTATCCTTTTTGTATTAGTGGCCCTCAGATCCGAAAGGGATTCTCAAAGATGATGAATTCTGGTTTCCTGTGGCATGCCATAACATTAAGTACAACTTAATTCCAAGTCTATAAACTGTAATGCCTGTGTCTGCTAACTGAAAAAGCAGATCCTGTTTTTTTTCTTCTTTTTATTATTATTATTATTATTACTTTTGAGACAGGGTCTCACTTTGTAACTTGGGCTGGAGTGCAGTAGCGTAATTACAGCTCATTGCAGCCTTCTACCTCCTGGGCTAAAGTGATTCTTCTGCCTTAGCCTCCTGAGTAGCTGGAACTACAGGCATGTGCCACTATGCCTGGCTGATTTTTGTATTTTTTGTAGAGATGGGGTTTCGCCGTGTTGCCCAGGCTTGTCTCAAACTTCCTAGTTCAAGTGATCTGCCCACCTCGGCCTCTCAAGTTGCTGAGACTATAGATGTGAGCCAATGCATCTGGCCCTGATGTTTTTTCAATAGCTAAAAATTTTCATTGTACTTTCAGAAAAATACTGTTCAATTTCCCGTGAATAGCAAATATTTTTTTGACATGTTGTGTTGCTTAGCTCAATTTTTTAAGTGAAAAAGTATTAAGATTTCTTAATGTCTGTATCCTGTGTATCTTAGTTTTGACTGTTCATTTTTAGCCACCTGATAACCAAAAACTTGGCTTGTTGGAAGCCTTATTAAAGATCGGTGACTGGCAACATGCACAGAACATTATGGATCAGATGCCTCCATACTATGCAGCTTCACATAAGCTAATAGCACTTGCTATTTGCAAGCTCATTCACATAACTATTGAACCTCTCTACCGAAGGTATGTAACTGTATACTTTACTAATCATTGAGGTAGAAATAGTTTAGGACTACAACAGAATCTATATGTATATTGATCTTATCGCCTCAAACCAAGCCTGTATTTTAGTACCTTTTATCAAAAGATAAGAACTGTTCACAGAATGTATCAGTGTAATACATATAAATCAGTGACTTGTCTTCTAACGTCTAGACCAGGGGTTTCAGAATTTGTGCTGCTGTGTAGTCTAAAAACTATAGGTTACACTTCTAGGTTGGGTTAGTTCCATTGAGAGTTGAAACTTCATTCTTCTGGTTTTGACTTTTCCTCCTCTCAGTGGGTGGGAGGGGCAAAGAATTCCTGAGGTTTTTTTCTTAGTATAATTTTTCTCTATCCTGGCTGAGTGGCTCTGAGGGAGGACATTGCTTCTCTGATTCTCTCATCTTTCCTGGCATATAGGCTATTGTTCCAGAAATTACTAGTGCAGCCTCTCTTACCATCCCCAGTTATTGTGTCGTCTAGTCCTTTAGCTTTCTGCCTACTTACAGGGTACTTAGGAGCAGTATTGACAGCAGCTCTGGCTACAGCCCCATAGATGAGAGCCTGCCTCAGAAGCCTCAGCCTTGTGACTTTTGTGTAGCCGCTGGTTGCTGCCTTCAGTGTCATCTCATGGGCTGTGGACCATGCAGGCTTCTTAGAGGGTGATCCCTGTGATTCCACAGTGGGACACCTGCTAAGCAGGTGAGAACTCTGGGTATGCTGTCCTAAAGTGATCCTCTTTTATTACACAGCTGACTTTCCCTACCACCCACCACCCTCTGCATACTCTAGTTTGTGGAATCCAGATTGAGAAATGTCAGTTGACTTGAATCAGTGTTGTTATATCCATATTTTTCTGTTTCATCTCCCGATGTATCTTAGGTCCATCCCTTGTTTCCCATTCCCATATCCAAGTTCCCAGTACTGGCCAAGTTTAAAAACAAGAGTCAGATGGTGTATGTTAAACGTTCCTTGAAATCTGCACTTCTCTGAATAAACAGTTAATTTGGAACATTCTCCTCTGAGCTCTGATTTTTTTTTTTTTTCGTTAGAGACTGTTGTTTTTATGTGTTTCTACCAGTTGAGAATTATCTGGTATAATAAAGTTAGGCACAATTGAAATGTAGAAAGCAAATATGAGCAAGAAAAATTTCACTGATTAAGATAGCTGTGTTAAAATGGTAGGTATTTTAGTATGTGTGTGTATATACTTACATATATTTATTTTACTTTTTATAATAGAGTTGGTGTTCCTAAAGGTGCTAAGGGCTCACCTGTTAATGCTTTGCAAAACAAGAGGGCACCAAAACAAGCTGAGAGTTTTGAAGATTTGAGGAGAGACGTGTTCAATATGTTCTGTTACCTTGGTCCTCACCTTTCTCATGATCCCATTTTATTCGCAAAAGTGGTGCGCATAGGCAAGTCATTTATGAAGGAGGTAAGTAAGATTTTTCTTACAAACATATAAATTTTGATTTGAAAATGTTCTGAATATACTTGTGTTATGAGTATCTTTAGACATAAAAATGAACCCCATTTGTCAGTTGGGGGGAAATAGGGGAGGGACGGTGGGGGGTGGGGAGCTGGGGAGAGATAGCAAGGGGAGAGATGCCAGAGGTAGGTGATGGGGAGGAAGGCAGTAAATCACGCTGCCAAGTGTGTACCTATGCAGCAATCTTGCATGTTCTTCACATGTACCCCAAAACCTAAAATGCAATAAAATAAATGGAAAAAAAAATGAACCCCATTTAATAAAGGGTTATGCTGAGTGAGGTTTGTGGAAAAGTCCAATGTTTCCTAACCATATACAGTCAAGTGTTGCTTAATGACAGGTGAGAAATGGCATCATTAGGTGATTTCATCATTGTGCAAACATCATAGAGTGTACTTAAACAAGCCTACATGATGTGACCTACTACATACCTAGGCCATATGGTATGGCCTATTACTCCTAGGCTACAAACTTGTACAGAATATTATTGTATTGAATACTGTGAGCAGTTGTAATAGACTGTTAAGTATTTGTGTATCTGACCATATATAAACACATAAAACCTTGCACTAAGTTGTTAGAACAGCCATGATATCACTAGGTAATAGGAATTTTTAAACTCTATTACAATGTTATATGACCCTGGTTGTATATGTGGTCCATCATCAGCCAAAACATTATTAAATGGTACATAACTGTATATATTAATATAACCCAAATCTAGCTAGATTATTAGTCAAGTCCCTCACACAGGAAAATATACTTCAGACAAGTGGCTACTTTTTGAATTCCCTTATAATTAGTGGTTACTTAGCATTCTTTTCCTTTGCTTACCTTCTAGTCATTTTCTTGGGTGTAGTTTTCAGTCATTGCTGCTATGTGTAAGAAGTCTTTTCAGCCTCAGACTGTTGAGGACCCATTCTTTTATTTTTATTTTTTAGTAAGCTTTTCATTGAAATAAAACATACATGTGGAAAAATACAGCTCAGTGACTTTCCCCAAACTAAGCACCCATGTGTCCACTACCCAAATCAAGAAATAGAATAGTACCAGCAACCTTGAGTCTTTCTTATACTCCATTCTAGTTACTATCCTAACCATAACCATTTACACTTTTTTTTTCAAAATCAGCTTTGAGGTATAATTTAAATACAGTAAACTACAATTTTAAGTGTACAATTCGATGAGTTTTGACAAATGCATACAGTTGTATGTTCACCACCACAATTAAGATATAGAAGTTCCCTCCTTCCACTGGTGTTCCTGGCAACCTCTGATAGGCTTTCTACAGCTTAATTAATAAATGGAATCATATGGTATATACTCTTTTCTGCCTAGTTTCTTCCACTTAGGCCTTTGAGATTTATCCAAGTTGTATGTGTCAGTAGTTCCTTTATTGCTGCATAATAATTTGTTATATAGATGTACCAGAGTTTATCTAGCCACCAGTTGATGGGCATTTGGGTTGTTTCTACTTGGAGGCTATTATAAAGCTGCTTTGAATATTCTTGCACAAGCCTTTTGGGAGGCATGTGTTTTTGTGTCCCCAGAAGTGGGATTGATGGGTCATATGAGTAACTATATGTTTAACTTCATAAGAAATTGCTAAACTGTTCCAAACTGCCTGTACCGTTTTGCAATTCCTAGTCTCAAAGTGAGACTTCTAATTGTTCCACATTACCACCAATACTTGGTGTTGCCACTCTTAAGTTTTAGTCATTCTAGTAGGTATGTAGTGATATTTCATTGAGCTTTTAATTTTGTTATGGTGACTAGGGAAGTTGATCATCTTTTTATGTGCTTATTTGCCATTTTTAGTTATCTTTAGTGAAATGTCTGTTTATGTCTCTTGCCCATTTTTAAGTTGGGTTATTTGTCTTTTTATTGCTGAGTTCTAAGAGTTCTTTATATATTCTGGATGCAAAGCCTTATCCGATACATGATTTTTGGAAATTTTTTTCTTAGTCTGATTTGCCTTTTCATTTTGTTAACTATCTTTTGACAGCAAAAAATTTTAACATTTGATTAATTCCAATTTAGTAGTATTTTTCTTTTATAGTTTGCTTTTCATGTTATAAGAAATCTTTGCCCAGCTCAAAGTTTTAAAGCTGAAAAGAATTATACATAGTTTCTTTAAAATTGTAAAACATGACAACCAAAAAACATCTAGACATTGTTATAAGCACAAATGCAGGGTGTCTTCAGTGTTCAGTGATTATATCTAATTTAATTTTAGACAATAGTAACTGTATAGAAATATTAACAGCTATTGTATATTAATTTATTGACATCTGAAATATTTGACTTGGCTTTTTATACTTAGCTGGTAGGTTTTTTTCTTTGTTTTTGAGATAGGGTCGCACCCTCATGAAGGCCAGAGTGTAAGTGGCACCACCATGGCTCACTGCAGCCTTGATCTCTTAGGCTGAAGTGATCTTCCCACTTCAGCAGCCCAAGTAGCTGGGATCATAGGCATATGCTGCCCTGCCTGGCTAGTTTTTAAAATATTTATAGAGACAGAGTTTCCCTATGCTGCCTAGGTAGATTATTTTTAATGCTCACAAATTTACATTATGTAAAGGTACTCTAAAGAAATCTGTTAAGTAGTTACTTATTACTATATTGTTATTAAATAACATGTGAAATGGAAGTATATCATTTCTAAATGTTGGGAACATTCTAAGTCCTCTGTTCTAGCTATTTTGAAATATACCAATACATTGTTGTTAACCGTAGTTACCCTACTCTGCTATTGAATATTGGAATTCATACCTTCTATCTAACTGCGTATTTGTACCTGTTAACCAACCTCTGTTTATTCCCCCAACCCCCAGCTTCTGTTCCCCCAACCCCCAGCCTCTGTTATCTGTCATTCTGTCTTCTCCCTCCATGAGACCACTTTTTTTTTGAGGCGGAGTTTCACTCTTGTTGCCCAGGCTGGAGTGCAACGGTGTGATCTCTGCCTGCTGCAATCTCTGCCTCCTGGGTTCAAGCAATTCTCCTGCCTCAGCCTCCCAAGTAGCTGGGATTACAGGTGCCTGCCACCACGCCCAGCTAATTTTTGTATTTTTAGTAAAGACAGGGTTTCACCATGTTGGCCAGGCTGGTCTTGAACTCCTGACTTCAGGTGATCTGCCTGTCTCGGCCTCCCAAAATGTTAGGATTACAGGCATGAGCCACCACCCCCGGCCATGAGACCACTTTTTTTTTTTTAGCTCTTGCACGAGTGAGAACATATGATATTTGTCTTTCTGTGCCTGGCTTGTTTCACTTAAAGACCTCCAGTTTCATCCACATTGCTACAAATGATATGATTTTATTCTTTTTTTTTGTGACGGAATAGTATTCCATCATGTATATATACACCACCTTTTCTTTATTCATTCATCCATTGATGGGTATTTAACAGATGATTCCATCATCTTTGCTATGGTGAGTAGTGTTGCAGTAAACATGAGAGTGCAGGTACTGTTTGGATTTACTGATTTCTTTTCCTTTGGTTAAATACCCAGAATGGGATTGCTTGTAACAAATTATCACATGCGTCCCATAAATATGTACAAATATTTGTACCAACAAAAAATTTAAAGAAATTTAGAAAGGAAGTATAATAATGTTTCACTCTTGATTTTTATTGTCTGAAAAGGATGATTTCATGTTAGCTAGTGCCTGCTCAAGAAACAAAAGGGCTGTATTTTTTCCAGTGCATCATATCAGGTGCACACGAAGTCACTTTGTTCAATTGCTGGTGATGTTAACTTTATCATTTGGTTAAGATGATCTCTGCCAGGTTTTTCCACTATAGGGTTACTATTTTTTTTCTTTGTTATTAATATATGTCTTGTGGGAAGTTAGAATGCTTTGAGACTAAAAACAGGCTGTTTCTCCTCATATTTTCACCTACCGAATGCTACTCTTTTTAGTTGAAAATCGTAATGTTCACATCTGTTGTTCTGAAATTCTTTGTTTGGTTACAAATACCAGACATGTGAGCAGGAGACCAAACCTCCAACTCATGGAAGTCCTGTACATAACCACGTACAACATTGTTACCAAGATACACACTTGCTAGAGCTGTCACACTTGCCCTCTTGCCTTCTCCATTGCATTCATCCTGTATACCCATTCTTCCTCAGTTGTGCCAGCTTCCTGCATCAACTCCAGTCTATTCTTGCAGAGATGGAGGGCAGAAGGGAAGAGAAAAATGTTAATTTTGACCATAGAGGTCAATGTAAGAAGAAATTTGCTTTTTTCCATTACTAGGTTTGTGATGGAAAAGTGAACCTTTCCAGTTATCTGAGTTAGAATTTTGATCTGCTTTTACCCATAAAAGATTTTGCTGTGACAAATCATTTGTTCTGTGTTTAAAAGGCTTTTTTTTTTTTTTTTTTTGTCTTTCTTGGAATGCAAGCAATCCTACAAAGCAATCCATTTGTGAGATTGCTTCTAAAGGGTGAATATGACCTTAGTTCCAAATAATGTATTTACAATTATGCTTCTTTAACAAATCTCATTTATAAGCTTGGGGTTGCTTTTATAACAAATTATGCTTATTTTTAAAAAGAGGTTTATATACTTATACCAGGTATCACTTAACAGAATAATCTTTCAGCCCTAAAGTTATTGGTAATTTATTTATCTGATTATATATATATATATATATGTTTCTTAAATTTGAGGTATGTAGTGTGATTCGCAAACTTCAGCATGCATCGTAATCACCCAGAGGACTTGTTAAAATAGATTGGTTGGGCCCCATCCTTGGAGTTTCTGATTCAGTAGATCTTGAGATCGGACCTTAGAATTTGCATTTCTAACAAGTTCTTTAGTGATGTTGATGTTCCTGCCCAAAGACCAAACTTTGAGGATTCTTGTTCTAGGTTTAAGAGGTGGACGAGTATGGTGGCTCTAGAATTGTCTCATATATAAGGACACATTTTGCTATA